CCCCCCAAGAATAGAGTCATAAGTGAGCCTGTTGATAGCACAGCCTGTCCAGAAACTGTCTCCCTCGACTAGCGTGAAGCTGGGCACTGCAGGCTTCCAAGAGACTTGGCAGAGAACCTGAGCTGGTTTTCCATGATCTTGAACTGGCCAGCAGAATTCCAGCTTGGAGCATCTCCCCCGAGGGCATGGGCACACTGGGTTTTTTGCATAGGGGTGGGTACTAGTATTGTACTAGTGTGGGACTCTGTCAACAGAGGTATTTTCTGTCCTTGAAAAAAAATTAGCAGAGCTCCCAGACTTGACCTACCTTGATCACCAAATATTGAAAGTTGTTTTTTCTAAACACACAATTTTATAGACTCCACTAGCATTGACCAGTTGCTGCTCTTGAACAGAGTGGGTTTTGGAAGTCGGTGAATTCTCAGTAGTGCAGACAAAGATTGCTTGTTTGGCAGTCACCTGTCATCCTCTCTCCGGCACACATTCATCCATTTGTCACAACACTTTGTAGGGAGGTGAACAGGGAAGCTTAAGAAAAATGCTTTCCTCTTGTCTTGATGATAGAAAGCATTGCTCACTGCTGGTAGCATGGTGGTAACTTTTCATTCCTTCTGGCAGTTTTTAAAGACTTATTTGACTTTGGGGGAACCTGCTGTATATCTTTAAGTCACAGTGCAAAAAAGTATAAGACAGGGTCGTTCATTTTCAATTTTGGTGGAAAGTCTTCACTTTGTCCGTGGCACTTCAAAGTTAGGGAAAACTTGGCTTTAAAAATGGATGCTGATACGAAATGGCATATTTAATGACAGATGTATCTATAGAAAGCTGTTAAGATGCAGATTATTCCCCCCTGGGGTGGGGGAGGGAGATCAAAACTGCCAATCTATAAAATATACTCGATGGCCTGGAATCTATCTTTGCAAGCCTTTGATTGCAGGGGACAGTGGAGCAGCATGTGGCATCATAACCCAGAGCAGACAAATCAGCTTGATGACTTTCAAAGCCAGGAACACCGCTGCAGGCAAGGGTACTCCCGTCTGGGAGAAATTAAAACATATAGCGACTGTTATTAATTCCATATCTATTTTTGTATAGTCAAATCTGTATGCAAATCCGTAGCATCTCATTTCAGCAGATGAATCTGAAAGTGAGGAGTGTTATGTGAAGGGAATGTAATGACCGAGCTCTGCCGATGAATAACACTACCAGAGACAGGTGGACGGAGAACTTGGGGGCTTTTTAAAAAACTTACGTTTTGTACTGAGAAGAAGTTTTTATTTATGTGCTCATTTGTAAATTATTTCAAAGAGAAACACAATAAAACCAATTTCTAAGGTTTTCCCTGGCAATCCTGACTTGGCAAAAGTTACAGCACTAGGTTTTTTAGGCACCTCCTGTGGTTTAACATTCTAGAAGTAATCAACCAAATAACTAACTAGGACTTCTGTCTCTACTCCCAACTAGTAACCCAGTATCTCATTTCTAAACATTGTCTGTCATGTGAGTGAAAATTTGTATGTGAGGGTAAGGAATCTAATTACTGAGTGCAGATTTTAATGCAGCTGATGCAGCTGTGGAAGACAGTAAATAATAATTCTGAAGAGGGTAAAGATAAACTGTGTGCCCTGCTTGGGTGAGAGGATGTAATAGCTACATTCTAATCCACTGGTGGTGCATTTAATCTATAATGGGCAGAGTTTGGTACATATAGTCGTGTAAATATTTTCAAATAGTGTCATAAACAGATAGTTTACTGCAGTAGATATTAATTCTGTCCCATATTTCTAAAACAAGTAGGTAAACCATCAGAGTTTTGAAATAGTGGGTGGGAGCTTTACCCTCTGTTCCCTCTCATTTGGAGAAATGATTATAGGTGAGCTGGCTATTAATCTGGCAGTTATGGCCCAGATCAAAACTTGGCAGTCATTTTAATACTGAAGACTTGTGAGGTCTCAATAGGTTTGATTATTCTTGTGGAGAAAGAATTATTGGACATTCAGTTTTTAATCAGATAAGAAAAGGAAGGTTGGGAGGAAAAAGTAAACATACCGCTGTATTTATTTTGAGATACATTTTCACTCCATGTAGGCACTTCAGCCTCAGCTTTCTCAAGTGTGTTTTCTTTTCATTTTTAAAATGAGACATTCAATGAGAAACACAAAAAAAGGCTTTTTTGAGGGCAGGAAGCTCATTTCTCTCTGTTATTTGCATTTCCTCCTTGGACAAATCTTTCATTAAGCTTAAAAAGTGGTTGCAAGCTTCAGAGAGAATTACAAGAATAAAAAGCCCTCCAGTTAATAATAGCCATGGTCAATTACATGAAAGATATAATCTCCTTACCAGAGTTGAATGAGAGAGTAATGACTGACCTGGACAGGTTCCCTCCCCTTCCTGTATCCATTAGTATTAATTGATTATTTCAGCTCAGTTGAGGGCTATGCACTAACCCTCTGCATTCTGGTTGACTTGACACCTGCTCATGGAGTTGATGGAGGTGACCTATTTAAAGTATCTGAACTGTCAAAGCAAAAGTGATAATGGACAAAGTAAAACAGACAAGGAAGACTTTATTCAAGACAATGGCCCTAGTGGAGAGAGACCAGAAAGCAGTCCGAAATCAACTCCTCTGAAAAAAAAGAGGCAAGAGGGTTTTTAAGACCAGGGGTGAGCCAGTGGAAAAGTACCGAAGGGCTTTGGAGGAAGGTTGATCAATGTGAACTGTTGAGCACATTCAGTTATCCCTGAGTTGGTAAATGTTTTTCTCTGTTTGGGACATTTGTGTTTGCTGATTGGCACCCACTGAAGTTAGGCTCCTCCCCTCCATAGAAAATGGGAGATAGGGGCATGGTCTGCTTGGTGATTACATTTCAGTGGGATAGCTCCAGGTCTTGGAGGAAGATATTCCTCAGTCTAAAGCTTGCAAGAAGCTTCTTAAATGATTTACATCTTACAGAGCCCCAGAACGAATTTATAATTAAAAGTTTTCTAAAGTAAGTGCTCTATGAGAAGGGAAGTTAGGGGCCTAGAGGCAGGAAGAAGCCTGTGTATAGTCAAGCTGACAGGGATAAGGCTGTCTTGGACAGTATTGTAACTACTCATTAGAAAAATTATCTTTATTGTTGAAAGTATTACAGATATCCCCTTTTTTTCCCCATTGGCCCCTTTCCCCCTGCTCCCACCGCCCCCTCCCCCAGACCTTTACCACACTATTATATGTGTCCATGGTTTATGCATATATGCATATAAATTATTTGGTTAATCTCTTCCTGCCCTTCTCCCCACTTCCCTATCTGTTTCATGCTTCCATGTCTCTGGATCTTTCAAAAAAATTCAATAGGAAACTTTTTAGTCTGCCTCAATTTTAGATATTTATTGCAAAAGTAGCTGCTTCTTTGTGATACTTATTAAAATGAGAATGTTATTCACTTTATACAAGTGTCTAGTAATATGTGTGAGACAATATTTTTAAAGACAGAATTGGAGGGGGGAGGTACTTATATTTCTGTTATTGCTTAACATTTATATCATATTATTTTCTTTTTGCTGCTTTATTTTTTAGCTTTTCCATTTAATGGTAAAAATTAAAGTAGAATCAAGTATTTCTGTGTTTTATAGGGCTCAATGTATACCACAAACATGAAAAGAAGTATGGGAAATTTAGCTAAAGGTATAATGATTTTTTTAGTTGTTCTTGATTAAGCAGAAGGTTTCAGGTTTTTTTGGATCTAAGCGGTTGTCAAGAGGGCTTTAAAAGAGTTGAGGACAGCAGCAATTATGCTCTAGAACTATGCTGTCCAGTATGGTAGCCATTAGCCACTTGTAGTTTACTGAGCACTTGAAATGTGGCTAATCTGGACTGAGATATGCTATGTCAACTATACACTGGATTTTGAAGACAATATGAAAAAATATATCTCAATATTTTTTACATTGATATCATGTTGAAAAGATAATATTTTGTCTATTTTTAGTGAAATGAAATTTATATTTGGTTTAATTTCACTGTTTTTACTTTTAATGTGGCTACTAGAAAAGTTAAAATTGCATATGTGACTCACATTTGTGAGTCGGGTTATATTCTATTGGATAACATTGGTTCTAGATTTCTTTTTTAAAACATGTTTTTATTGATTTGAGAGAAAGAGGAAGAGAGAGAGAGAAACATTGATCGGCTGCTTCCTGCATGCCCCCTACTGGGGATCCAGCCTGCAACCAGGGCATGTGCCCTGATGGGGATTGAACCAGTGACCTCTTGATGCATGGGACAATACTCAAGCAACTGAGCCACACTGACCACAGCTAGATTTCTTTTTATAAGTAATGTCTTTTCTTACATATGGTTCTTCTAAAGCAGTGGTTCTCAACCTGTGGGTTGCAACCTTTTTGGCAGTCGAACGACCCTTTCACAGGGGTCGCCTAAGACCATCCTGCATATCAGATATTTACATTACGATTCATAACAGTAGCAACATTACAGTTATGAAGTAGCAACAAAAATAATTTTATGGTTGCGTTACAACATGAGGAACTGTATTTAAAGGGCCAGAAGGTTGAGAACCACTGTTCTAAAGAGATACCAGGATATCACTGTGTTAGTAGATAGAAGACTAGAGATTTAAAACTGTCAATTTAGCTAAAGACAAGAATTTTCTATAGAACTATGTTCCTGGCATAAACTGCAAAGATTTGTCACTCCCCCCTCCCTCTCTATTCATTTCCCCTCATTCTGGCCATGTTGGGGATCTTGCCAGAATTGGGGATCTCTTGCTAATCTCTGCATACTTGCTGCTTGCTCTCAACTGGATTGCTTCTGAAATGTTTCTTGAAAATGAAACGGCTTCAAAATAAGCTTCTTAATTATGGCATAGGTTCACCACAAGGGTATACAAACAAATTCTCAACAGTAGCTAATTTTTCTTTAATTGTATCTCATTCTTATGTTGGAATATCCTATTTCTTATTCATGAAAGCTCTAACACGTGTTAATCCATTACATACAGGTGGAGTAACTAACACCGCACAGTATCAGAATAGACTAATGGTGTATGAACCTAACCAGGTAAGAATCCTATAAGAAGAGCTCATTACCTTAATTAAAATGAATTTTAAAAGATGTCTACAGTAATTAGTAGTTGGAATGCCAAGTCTACACACACACACACACACACACACACACACACACACACACGCGCGCGCGCGCATCTTAAACCTAGATAGAAAAGGAAGCATCTGGATAAACTGCTTTTTGCTTCTTTTTTTTTCTCATAAAGTTTTAGCTCCTTCAGTTTTATTCTATACAACATGCTTAACTCTTTCAGAGTTTTGCCCAATGTAGAAAAAAGGGGAAGACATTTCCATTATCTCAAGTAGCTGTTCATATTCAGAGGCATCCAAAGAAAGGATTGGGATTGTCCTGTTGCTATGTCCTTTTAGAAGGCATGTCATGGGCGATGGGGGTGGACTTGCTTATGGTTTCATTATTCCAAAATAAAATAATGACTTTTATTTAACTCAGTATAGCCAAAATGTCCTAGAACAGGGTCTAGGACACATCCAAAGTAGAAGTAGCTGAAGAGTTTGTTTTTCATCTGATAACTGGGGCCTGGACTGAAAGCATTATGATGGCTCCTGTCCCTCCTTCTGCCACTTCTCATGCACACATAACATCTCCCCTCCCCCCCAAATAACTATTTTTATTCTCTTTTTTTCTACCTAAATATCTATGACTTTAGCAAATATGGGCTGAAATTTGCTATTTCTATGATTTTGGTCATGTCAATTTTTTCATGATTATGACAATATTCACAATGATTTAACCTGGGGATTTCATATTTGTCTGCTGGAAATACTGGAACATGAAACAACAGGTTGGCATTGGCTGTCCAATTTGGGATTAGCCACCAAATGTATGTCCAAAGTGACCTCAATCTATTTGGAATCTTTTTATTTTAACAATTACTTAATTCTGAATTTAACGAAGGTATTTCTGTCTTTGCAAGTGTGTTTCCTGATGTCATTAGAAGCTGTAGATTTCAGAGACCACATGTCCATGGGCCAGATGTCTCAAGAGGGATCATTAATTGCAGTTGCTTGAGTTCAGTGCACACGTGGTTAAAGAGGAAGAAGGTGTTAACGTTTCTCAAATGACTTCTGTCTCATGTTTGTACACACATGCTCTTTTTAAAAATTCTGCTGGCATATTGTTTACAGTGGGTTCTGGCAAACATCACATCTGCTTGCATCTTGCTCAGAATCTCAATAACTCTATCATCCAGCCCCGGTGCTTATTTCACTGCGAGGCCTTTGTGGAGAGTCGATAATGCCCGCCATCTGCCACAGAGCACATCGCTACCTGCCAACAGGCAGGCTGGGCTGACCTCTGCTTCCCCACCACTGATTAGTATTCACGTGCTAGCTTATTAGGAATGACCCCACCAGGCCTCTCTGTTTCCTTGCCTTTGCAGCGGTTGTCGGCTCACCTGGCAGGCACGGCAGTGAAGGAGGCTAAAGATGTAATCAGGGGATGCAGGCAGGCTTTGCAAACCAGATGGGGTCCACAGTCCTATGGCAGGGGACCGGACTGCTAATGCAGACGCCAATTTCTAATATTATTCAGGGCTGCCTCATAGAAAGCATCCTAAGAAAAGTATCATCAGAGTTTTGAGGTAAATCCACTCCCATGTAATGTATTAAAGATATTTCTTAGCGGAATACCTGAAAGAAAGGTTTGACTATTTTATTAAAGAAGACATTTAATTGGAAGGAGATTCTTAGTATGATATGTTTAAAAAGGAGAAGCAGCCCTAGCCGGTTTGGCTCAGCAGATAGAACATTGGCCTGCAGACCAAAGGGTCCCAGGTTCAATTCCGGTCAAGGGCATGTACCTTGGTTGCAGGCTCCTCCCTGGCCTGGGTCCTGGTCAGGGCTCATGCAAGAGGCAACCAATCGACATGTTTCTCTCTGTCTTTCCCTCTCTCTTCCACTCTCCCTAAAAAATCAATGGAAAAATATTCTCAGATGATGATGAAAAACAACAAAAAAGGAGGAACAGATAAATGCAAGCCTTTCAAATTATACAAACCACTTTCATTTTTTTGAGTGTAACTTTAAAAGAGAAATTAGAAATGAGCTAATAGATATACCTTTAGTTAATACCCAGTATTTATACAAAACATTTTCTTTTTCCTTTACAGCTTTGTGAACTATTGAAATTCTATGTATTCTAAACATCATAGGATTTTTTTCTGGTCAAAATCCAAATTTTTCTTGGCAAAAAGGAATCTGGGTTGTTCCTGTATGTTTTGTGTTTATGTAGAAAGAAAATGGTTATGTTTACTTACCTGTCCATTACTTAGTTGAGATATAAAATTAGTCATTTTATTTTTATCTAATTTTACATTACATTTTAAATAGGAGCCTTATGTAAGAGGTGTTGAGCATACCGTTCTTATTATTAAGAGTAACCCAGAACCAAATATTGCCTAAAATTATCATATAAAACTTGGCCTTCTACAAAAACCAATAAATGCCTAGAAATAACTTTTCTCAGCTTGACAAAAAATGTGATTGTAAATACATTAAAGGAGGCTGATAAAAGGCAATGAAGGAATCCATTGCTGAATCAAATCTTAGCTCTTCCATTGATCTCAAGAGGTTAATCTTAGAAGAACAGCAAAGCCACCCTCACTCTAGCTTAGGTAGGATCTGGGGATAGTCAGTGATTAACACAATACTTTTTTAAAAGTGTATATTTTTTGGACATTTATTATGTGTGAGGCATTGTTCTAAATCAGTGGTTCTCAACCTTGGCTGCACATTAGAATCACCTGGGAATCTTTAAAATATCCTGACTTCGGGCCCATCCTCCAGAAATTCTGTTTCTTTGTTTCTGTTTCTTTGTTATGAATGTTGTGGCCCCATCCCATAACAAAGAAACAGAATTTCCGGAGGATGAGGCCCAGAAATCAGGATTTTAAAAAGATTCCCAGGTGATTCTAATGTGCAGCCAAGGTTGAGAACCACTGTTCTAAATGCTTTATGTGTATTAGCTCATTTAACCTACACAACAGTCTTGGCAGGTGGCTATTATTACCCCAATGGGGAGGCACCATTGAGGGCATAACCAATGGTAGAAGTTCAGGTGTTTTGCATTGAGCTGCTGTTTTTTGCAAATGAGGAAACAGGCACAGAGAGGTCAAGTAAATTGTTCAAGGTTACACACAGGTTATGAAGTCAGGTATTCAAAGTCCAGAGCCTGTTTCTTAATCATCACACCACCTTAGTCAGTAAACCTAGCCATGCACTTTCACTCTTAATTTGCATAAGTAAATTCTCTCAATTTCTATATTTTCATATGCTTCCCTTACAAATGCGAAATGCCCTATGAAATGCAACCCAAACAAGAGGAAATGCCTTATGTAAGTTGAAAAATAGAGCTGGAACATGTGGGTGTTTCTGCCCTTGTTCTCAGGGAAGAAGTCCATTCCTTTCAAAGTATATGAACAACATTTAAACAGAAAGTGATTGTCAAACATTAGGTCCCCACTACTAACAAGGCACAGCTGTTCTCTGCCATGAAGATCTGCTATTAACAGAATTCACCTGGATTTCTTTTTCCAGAACAAGTGGATAAGCCGCAGCCCCATGCTGCAGAGAAGGGTCTACCACTCCATGGCTGCGGTCCACAGGAAGCTCTACGTCCTTGGAGGCAATGACCTGGACTACAATAACGACCGGATCCTGGTGCGGCATATAGATTCCTACAACATAGACACCGACCAATGGACGCGCTGCAACTTCAACCTGTTGACTGGCAAGTACCTTTGTTAAGTAAATCAGGAAAAGCTAAGATTCAAGAAGCTTCCTCTCTAAATACTGAGTGCACGACAACAGAACAACTTGCTTTTATTAACTAGAAAGGTGCACATTCTTTATCTCACATAACTTCACCCCATCAGGTGGCTGAGCATCTAGTTTGACCTTTGTGTGTGCCCTCATGTGACTAAGAGCATGTCAAGTCCATTTCTGTCAATATATTAACATAGGAACTTGAATACAACTAGGAGGAGCCAGGTGCGGAAAGAGTTAATGACTCTTTACAGAAGCAAATCGTTTTTTACTTCTCATTACTTTTAGTTGTCATTTCTTTTTTATTTTATTTTATTTATTTATTTACTTATTTATTTTGCTTTTACACTACCGCTGTAATGCATTTTGTATTTCATATACTGTGCATGTCAAAACAAAACAGGCATTAATGGTCAGGGGTACATCCTTCCCAATGTCATCAGTTCCTACTCCACAATCAGACACCGAGGAGACCTTCTGGTTAGGAGTAATTCAGTGAGAGGCGGGATGGCCGGAGTTGGAGTGGCCATCTGCATCCATGCACTCTGGTGTCAGAGCTAGGAGAGACGTCAGGAAAGCTTGGAGGGCACAGTTGCAAGTTGGGAGTCTCTGCATGAGTCGTCATTTCTTATAAGTTCAGGAGAATGGTTTTCATTTTTTGTCACTGTTGAATATTGTTTCTGGCTGTTTTCTCCTAAAGATTAAACCTTTGAGCAGTTCTGAGCATAGGGGTGTGGCAGCATTTCTGGGCACACACCGCCATCCCAGCCTTCCCACAGGGCAGCACTAGGTATGGGCCATCCTTATCCCGAAAGGGAATGAAAGGGAAGCGGTGAACAGCTTACCCCTGACATTTCTTTATGGAGTTGAACACTATTTCTCCCTTGTCAGCTGCGTCCTTAACAACCACCAGTGACCGGATCCCTTCCAGGCTGCTCTGCTAATAGGAAAATCAGACTCAGAATGGTGGGCAGACTAGTGCTTGGAGGCGATTTAATATGCCGAGTGGGCCCTCAGCCACCTGCTGGTGCTGGGGAAACACCATTGAAGGCATAGCCAGTGGGAGAGGTTCAAGTGTTTTGCACTGAGCTGCTGTTTTTGTTTTGTTTTTTGAAAACCTGATTTTTAAGGCCCACCTACAAGTACTTAATTCTGGTCTAAGTTGCTGTAGAGGTGCCTGAGCCCTCGGTCCCTGGATCTGTCTGCTATAGGATCCAGCTTATTTATTACCGGAGTCAATCCTGTGTCAGCCCATCAATAAAAAGAGACTGTCTCACTCTTTGATGGCCTCAAGGGAAGAATATGTGGTAGTGAGTTATTCTGTCTTCTTTTTTAAATGGGGAAGGGACCTTTCATCATTTTGGCATGTCAGTATCTAGGGACTATCCAGGCTGGTCTCAGCTCAAGAACTTTAATATAGTCTTAAAGCTGTTGTGTATGTAAAGAGAGGGAGGGTGGTAACTTTGTCTTTTTTGTCATTTGTCTTCATTTTGGGGCACGCTAGGGGCATGGCTCTGTTTTATTGGTTTCTTGGGGTTGCAGCTGTTTACAAATGTAAGTATTTGCCTTAAAAGCATTCGTAGTACAAGAGGTTTTTTGCATTTCTAAAATACACCTTTTTTTCCCCGCTACTGAAAATGTATGGCATGTAACAATATAAAACTCTTACTGGTAGTTCTCAATGGCTTATTATTACTGTATTTTATGCTGTTTTTACTAACTTGGCTAACCAGTGTTATGACCTGGTTCTGATCCGACACACATTCATTTGCTGAGAAATGGTGCTTAATTTCTCCCTCTGAGTAGTGGGAGGCAGCGATTAGTTGCTGCAGAAACCCTGTGGAGTATACAAGTCTACCACAGGGCAAATTGTATCTCTCAGTGGCAAAAGGGTTAATTAAAACATGCAAGGAAAGGGATTTATTTTTTTTATTTTTATTCAATTCTCTTTACTTTAGGCCAAAATGAATCTGGAGTTGCTGTCCATAATGAGAGAATCTATTTAGTTGGTGGATATTCGATTTGGACAAATGAGCCTCTGGCTTGTATCCAGGTGAGTGGTTGAAGTTCCTTTTGAAGTTTGTCAAGGGGTTCAGGGAGGTTATTTTTTGCAGTGCTGCTCCTGAAGGAAGAGATATTTACACGTAGAAAGAGGCTTGAGCTCCCATTGTGCAGCTAGTTCAGCCACTAAACCTCATCCAGCATCCCAAAAATGGTACTTAAGAAAGAGCTCTATTAAAAATGGAGATGAAAACTTTGAAAATCTAGACATTTATGAAATAGATCTTTCACACCCCAAAACTTCACAAATGTGTTTCTATTCCATTTCTTTATTTTCTATATTGTGATTTGTTCATTTCCATAAATGCCACCTACAAAGGTGTTCTTCCTTCCTGAAGAGTGAACAGTAGGGGGCTATGATTGGCCTGATGGGGGCAACCTTTGCCCCAAAGAATAGTCTTGGCTGGTCAGCATGTGAGCAGCCCAGGCTGGGCAAGTTGCTAGCTAGGCCATTGAAAATAGCAGTAGCTTTTGTTGATATACATATTATAAGGTATTATTGTTATTTATTTATTACATTTTGTATCTTAGTTGTTTTTCTGTTTTACATCTTTTCTGATATCATATTGACATGTATTAGCCCTGACCTTTTTCCTGATCTCCATAAAAATACATCCTTATAACTACTCATATTATCTAATATATTTGTGGGAAGATTAAAAAAATATCTTCATTGATTTTTAGAGAGAGAAGAGGGGAGAGAGAGACATATCTATGTGAGAGGGAAACATCAATTGGCTGCCTTCTGCACCCTCCCCACTAGGGACCGAGCCCAAACCCCAGCATGTGCTCTGACTGGGAATTGAACTGGCATCTGATTGTGACTGAAGAAAAATGTATATATATTTTAAAAAAAAATTTTTTTAAAGAAACTTTCTCATTTGTCTTAAGCTTTCAAAATGTCTTCTTCTCTTGATTTGTCTTGCCAGAGGTTTTTCTGGGGACTTTAACATACTTCTAGTATGGATATAGATAAAAATTAGCAAGGGTAGCATAGATATGAATACAGTAGTTCCCCTCTAATCCAAATTTTGCCTTTTGCTGTCTGTTACTCATGGTCAACCACAGTTGAAAATATTACATGGAAAATTCCAGAAATAAGCAATTTATAAATTTAAAAGTGCACACTATTCTGCATAGTGTGATGAACTCTCTGACCCGTTCCCTCTGCCCAGGACTGGAATCATCTGTTTGTCCAGCATATCCACACTGTATATGGCTCTCCTCTCTTTAGTCACTTAGTGGCCAGCTTGGTTATCCGAGCCACTGTTGTGGTATCTCAATGCTTGTGTTCAAGTAACTTTTATTTTACTTAATAATGGCCTGAAAGTGCAAGGGTAGTGATACTGGTATTTTAGATATTCCAAAGAGAAGATGTAAAGTGTATATATTTATAGGAAGAAACAATAAATTGTGTTTGGTACTATCCACAGTTTCAGACATCAGTGGAGGTCTTAGAATGTATCCGCATGGATAAGGGGGACTACTCTAACATAATTAACAAACTTTTCCAAGTGGATCAAACAATTAGTGAGGATAGTGTTCTTTTTTTTCTGTTTGAGATATAATTGACATTTAATATTTTATTAATTTAAAGTGTACAACGGGAAGAGAGAAAATACTTGCAAATTGTATTTTTTGAGGAACTGTCATGTTTTCTATAGTGGCTGCATCAATTTATGTTATCTACCAAGAATGCACAAAGGTTCTCATATCTCCACATTTTCATGAATACTTATCTCTTGTCTTTTTTATGACAGCCTTTATTTTTAACTTTATTGTTGAAAGTATTACAGTCCCCCCTTTTTTGACCCTCTCCACCCCGCTCCTGCCCCCTCCCCAGGCCTTCCTCACAATAAGGTTTGAGATGACATCTTATTGTGTGTGGTTTTGGTTGGCATTTCCCTGATGATTAGTGATGTTGAGCACCTTTTAATGAACCTGTTGGCCATTTGTTATGTCTTCTTTGGAAAAATATTTATTCGATCCTGTGCCCATTTTTTCAATCGGATTGTGTGTTTTTGGTTTTTTTTTTCCTGATGAGTTTTATGATGTCTTTATATTTTTTGGGGTATTGACCACCTATCAAACATATGATTTGCAAGTACTTTCTCTCATTCTGTAGGTTGTCTTTTCGTGATCTTTAATTCCTTGAGGGAGACCAGCTACCTTTTTAAGGTTTCTGAAAAGGGGGAACTTACATATGAATTTAGGAAGTTGGCAGAGGATGAAGAGGATAAGGCTTCATGAAGGATAAACCTTGGAAGATGGACAGGGTACATAGATTGTTTGGAGTTTTTACAGCTGAATTGTATGAATCCTTTATATGTTTTGGTTATTAACCCTTCTCAGATATACGATTTGCAAATATTTTTTCCCAATTGATGGGTTGCATTTTCTTTTTTTTTTTTTTAATGCTTTCCTTTGCTGTGCATAAGCTTTTTAGGTTGATATAGTCCCACTTGTTTATTTCTGCTTTTGCTGCCTTTGCTTTTGGTGTATATTACAAAAAAAAAAAAAAAAAAAAAATCGTTGCCAAGACCAATGTGTTTTACCTCTGTGTTTTTTTTTCTAATTTTATGGTCTCAGGTCATATGTTCAAGTCTTTAATAAATTTTGAGTTGATTTTTGTGTATGGTATAAAATTGGGATCCAGTTTCATTCTTTTTAAAAAAATATATTTTTATTGATTTCAGAGAGGAAGGGAGAGGGAGATAGAAACATCAATGATGAGAGAGAATCATTGATCAGCTTCCTCCTGCATGACACCAACTGGGGATCGAGCCTGCAACCCGGGCATGTGCCCTTGACTGGAATCGAACTCAGGACCCTTCAGTCCGCAGGCCGACGCTCTATCCACTGAGCCAAACCAGCCAGGGCTCCAGTTTCATTCTTTTGCATTTGTTTTTCTAGTTATCCCAGCGCCATTTATTGAAGAGACTATCCTTTCCCTCATTGTATGTTCTTGGCTTCTTTGTCAAAAATTAGTTGATTATATATACATGGGTTCATTTCTGGGCTCTCTATTCTGTTCCATTGATCTTTTCCCCCTCCCCCCCCCGCAAACAAACAAACAAAACCAGTGTTTTATTTACTGTAGTTTGAAATCAGAGTGTGTGATGCCTCCAGCTTTATTCACTTTCTCATGATTGCTTTGGCTATTTTTTTTTCTTTCCGTGTGTGTGGTTCCATATGAATTTTGGGATTTTTTTTTCCTGTGAAAAATGCCATTGGAACATTGATACGGATCACATTGCTTTTATTTTTTTCCTTTAGGAAATTTCCAAAAGACTTTTTCTCATTTTTTATTGAATTTATTGGGGTGACACTGGTTAAGAAAATGATAAAAGTTTCAGGTGCACAATTCCATAACACATCATCTGTCACTGTATTGTGTTCACCACCAAAAACAAAGTCTCTTTCCATCACCATTTATCCCCCTTATACCTTCCTCCACCTACCCCAGGCAATCACCACACTCTTGTCCATGTCCGTGAGTTTTTCCTTTTTTGCTCGATCCCTCCACCATCCACCATCACAACCTCCACCCCTGACAGCTTTCAGCCTGCTATGAATGAGTCTGTCTATATTTTGCTTGTTGCTCATTTTGTTCATTAAATTCCATTGCTTTTAGTATAATAATTCTTCCAATACATGAGCACAAAATACTTTTTCCATTTACTTGTAACTTCATTTTCTTTCATAAATGTCTTTTTCAGTACATAGATCTACTCATCCTCTTGGTTAAATTCCTAGGTACTTTATTGTTTTTTCTACACTTGTAAATGAAATTTTCTTAATTTCTCTGATAGTTTGGTGTTAGTGTATAGAAATGCAACAGGTCTTTGTACATTGATTTTGTATCCTACAAGTTTACTGAATTGATTTATTAACTCTATAACAGTTCTTTGGTGGAGCCTTAGGGTTTTGTATTATATCATGTCATCTGCAGACAGGAAGTTTTATTTCTTTTAGTTTTATACCACCGAGTATGATGTTAGCTGTGGGCATGTCATATATGGCATTTATTATGTTGAAGTATGTACCCAGTTTGTTGTGTTTTTTTTTTTGAGGGGGTGCTTATAAAATGAATTTTATTTATTTATTTAAAATATATTTGTATTGATTTCAGAGAGAAAGGGAGAGATACAATCATCAATGATAAGAGAGAATCATTGATTGGCTGCCTCCTGCACACCCGCTACTGGGGATCAAGCCCACAACCCGGGCACGTGCACTTGACCAGAATCGAACCTGGAACCCTACAGTCCTTAGGCTGATGCTCCAGCTAGGGCTGATTTTTTAAAAAATTTATCTTTATTATTGAAAGTATTATAGATGTTCCCCCCCCCTTTTTTTTCTCCCATTGACCCCCTCCACTCCACACCCACTCCCTAGGCCTACTGCACTAATGTTTGTGTCCATGGGTTATGCCTATATGCATATAAATTCTTTGGTTAATCTCTCTCCTACCTCCTCACCTCTGAGAGTTTTTATCATGAATGGATGTTGAATTCGTCAAATACTTGTACTACATCAGTTGAGATGAGCATATGACTTTTATCTGCCGTTTTGTTAATATGGTGTATAACATTGGTTAATTTACATATGTTGAACCATCTCTAAATCCCACTTTATCATAGTGTATGATCTTTCATTTATTATTATTTTTAATCCTCACCCATGTTTAGAGAGCTAAAGAAAGATTGATATGATAAAGATACATTGACTGGTTGCCTTCCTTAGGCACCCCAAGTGATAGATCCTGCAACCCAGGTATGTGCCCTGACTGGGAATTGAACCGGCATTCTTTTGGTGCACAGGATGATGCTCCAACCAACTGAACCACTCTGGCCGAGCTAGTGTATGATCTTTTAAATGTGGTGTTGAATTTGGTGTACTATTTTGTTGAATTTTTACATCTATAGTCATCAGAGACACTGGCTTGTCATTTTCGTTTTTTGTAGTGCCCTTGCCTGGTTTGGGTATCAG